TTTTTTAAGCGTCTGTGACCTAGTTATTGAACTGTTGTGGGTTATTTTTGGTGTCTGTGACCTAACTATTGAAATGTTGTGGGGTTTTTTTTTGTGTCTGTGACCTTACTATTGAGCTGTGACTTTGAAATTCATAATTTGTAACTTATAAAAAGAATATGTGACCTATAAAATTTTAAATCCGTGACCTCGAAATAATCCGCGATCTACAAAAATTTTGATATGTGACCTCGAAATAACTCGTGACCTACAGATTTTTTGATCTGTGACCTCGAAAAATGTCGCCGGAATTAAAGTGTTGTCGGAGTAGTCGCCGGTCGCCGGAGTAGTAGTCGCCTAGTCGGAGCAATGGGGGGGGGGGGGCTAGGGTGTGGGGGGTTAATTTTATTATATTACAGTTAAATATTTAATTTAATATAATAATTCTGAAATGTAATTAATTAATTCAAGAAAAACCTGATTTTTGTAATTGTAAACTTTGGGGCCTGATTTTTAATTTTGGAATAGTAAACACCTGAGTTGTGAATTTTTCCCTTATGAATTAATCTAAGTGTACAATATTCTTTGACAATAATGGTTGAGAATCATGTATTGTCAAAATCCTAGTATGTGATATAGAAAATAGTTTTTTAAAATGAATGAATATGATGAAACCAAATAAGATGTTGCCAACCAATGTTGTCAACCAGTGTTGTACATGTAACATGATTCATTATTTATATGGTTTTGGATTGGAAGAAAGGATAGATGACGAATGAATGAAAAGAACTGTGATTTGTTGCCAAAGTTTTCTCCTTTCCCCAATTCTTCTATTCCTTCTTCTGTTGTTTTCTTCTTCTATTATTTCCGCCTCTAATTTCCCCTTCTTCGTAGACTTATTTCTCATTCTCCATTAGTTGTTTAAATTGGTGCTGCATCAATAACGCATAAAATTAAGCAGAATTTATGGTTTGATTATTATAATCAAAATCAGCTGTCCAGCGAGCTTTTCATTGCCACTAGACCAGAGTTCAGCTGCATAACTCAAAAGGATAATTGTGCAAACCACGTTTGATCAGAACTAAGCAAAAGATTTCAATGGCCTCACAAAAATAGTTGAAAATGTTTACTGCCACAAAATGGATTTCTTCCCCCAGGAAGCTAAAAGGCATTATATACAGACTATGGCAGTTAAGTCTTTTATGATGCTATCTTAAAGTTTGTAATTTATAACAGTTGCCAGTGTATTTTCTGCAGTACCAAATACAATTAAAGGTCTATTTTGGAACAGCAGATAGCAGTATCAAAGGACCAGTTTAACGACCCCAAAATGGACCTCAGACTTGATTCAGTTTGCGGGAACTGCTTCATTTAAGATTCAAGTTGAGAGCTAATAGAACTGTTTTCACAACGAAAACGACCCTAAGATGATAGCCCAGCATATTTCCAAGGACAACGCCGCCTAAGAGTTGAGAAAATTTAGTCATCAGAATTATGGTTCACCCTCGTCTGATTGAATATTGGGTGAAGGCAGTTGTTCTTCATGTCCATCTCCTTCACTAGCATTCTCAGGTTGAGGGCCTTGGTCTCCACTTTCATTGTTTTCAGGGTGAAAATTAATGGGAAATTTGGTTACCCTTGGTTTGTCAGTTAATATGTTCCTTTGAATCCTATCAATCAAGATCTTTTGGGGAGGCTCTTCCCTCAGCTGCTCAGCATCATAATCATTGTTGACATAGTAGCCCACCCGAACAAATTCTTGACCCATATAAGAGCAGGTCAAGAGAAGTACAGTCACTCCAATTATATCTTCTTCACGGATCTTCGAAGGATCTGGAGCATCTGCCTGTCACCAATCTCACAAAGTGTAAAATTCCAACAAGTATACAAAACAACAGTCGATTGCAAAATTATTTTCCAACAAAAATTTAGTGTATTACCTGCAGAACAAAACGATAATTTCCCACATTGACTGGCCCAACAAGAACACTTTCTAGTAGTTGGTCATAAGTTTCATCCTCAGCAGATCCAACATAAATGAGTTTCCATTCCAAATCTGCATATGCATTTCAACAATTACAAACTGGAAAATTATGGTATTACTTTGTCCAACCAAAGCTAGATCATAAAGTTGACACATCTGTGTGGAGGTAAAACCGAAAAAGAGCATTCATGGAAATGAACATAAATAAATTAAATACACTAAAATATGAGAGATAGAAGATAGTGCTAAAGATGATATAGAACAGTGCAGCCTTGTCCCCCTTTTTTGTGATAAGAGGTCAAAATCTTAAATAAACAAGCTTCGACTTGGCTAAGGCTATTGCTAGTATAAGACACTACAACCAGCAGTCCAGCACAGACATGAACACAGAAATGGCTCCTCTCACATACCCAAACTCACACACAGGGCTAAGTTTATCTATCTGATTCCAAGAGACACTAGTTCTTTTCGTTTCAGTGCATCCACTCAACGTTCTCAATTCTCTCACCAAATAATCATTAATAAACGAAGGAAGTCAAAGAAAAAGAAAGAAAGAAATAAAATATATCTTCCATATTAGTAAACTTTGCTACCACAAATTGACGAAGATAATTTTCATAAAGATGTACACTAACATCGTTTAGCCTCCTACAATTGATGTTCTCATTAACCCTCATAACCATATTTTTTCCTTTTCCTCTATTAAGTTTTCTTAATAAGGCTAAATATATTAGAAGTTGTTTTTTCATACAGTAAAGTCCCAGTTAAGTTGACCTTTCTTAATGCTGTTGATTATCTTTTCCCTCAGAGAGCTTTTAATTGGACGATCTTTCTTTGATGGATGGAAATGTTAATGGTTTTGTAGCTACATTAATTAAGGAATCCTATACTGAATAGAGCATGATTTGTCCCATCCGTGTAATTAATGCGCCAAACTTGTGTGCACGTGTAATACAGAGACTAATTGACTTGATTACACCTAAACACTTCCACAAAGCCCACTTTTGTCAAACCTCTTTCCAAATATATAAAAGATAAAAGAGTGTAACATCATAAATAAAACTAACGAAGTACTGACAAGTGACAACGGCGCATTGCACACAAATCCCACATCACACGAGTGCTTAAATAATTTCTAACCAGAAACCTTAGAGAAAGTTCTCCTGATTAATTACCCTGGTCATCAAAGCCACTTCAATAGATTCATTAATCTATTTTATGCATTCAAAAGGTCCTGACACTAAGTGAAATACTCAAAACCACAGGGTTATTTCCCTCTCACACGTGAGAAATTTCGAGAGCATAATAAATAAATATTCTCGCATCCCAATTATGGAAGCCCAGAGAGCAATTTCAATTGTGGAATCCAATGCACCACTACCGATCTTCCTACTACAAATAAGTGCTGTATGGTTGCATAAATAATTTCAAGAACAAGAAATGATATGTTGACCTTGAATCATACTTAAGTAAATACATAGCAAGGTAAAAGCAATTGACACAGAAACAAACACAAATAAACTACCCAAAAGTTCAAATGAAATTCGAATTTATATTTAACATCAAAAGCCCTAGAACACGGGACGTACCTTCGTCCTCCCCCAAATTATTACTTCACAAACAAAATCTATTTTAGATAAATTAGCAAGTCATTGACTGATTAAAAGGAAATTATTTCATCAACCACCAAACATAACCAAAAATCCAATACCACAGACCCTATTATTCACCTTCAAATGATAAATAAACCTAACAGACTCCGAAGTTAACTCAACAAGACATATTAAACAATTTTTTTTTAACAATCCTAGGATATAGATTAAATGAGAAACAAGAAAGTACCGTCTTTAAGAGCAGTAACACATTCATAGGAGATTTCGAACTGGAAGGGGCTTAAAAACGACGCCGGATTGTCCAACACCGCGACGTTAGTAATGTTAACTGCACTCATTATACCAGAATTGACTGTGGAGGATATGAAGTACTCACAGAATTGATAAGAAATGAATTGAATGAAATCGTAGAAAACACGAAATTCATAGAATGGAAAATTTGAAAATTGATGAGAAGAAGAATTTGAAGAGAGAAAAATGAAGAAACAAAAATTAAGAGTGTGTATGGTAGAGATTTTTGGGGGAATAATTGATTTTTGAAAAGTGATATGATTAGAAATGTGAAGTTGAAAAAGAAGAAAATAGTATTGATCTGATGAAAAATATTATTTTATTGAAAAATGTGTGGTTAAAAATAGAATTGATTTAGTGTAGAAAATGAGAATATGTACGGAACATCCTCTGAATGAAAAATGTATAGCTTTCTTGTGATGCGTGTGTTCCGCATAGAGCTGTTTTTATATAAGTGACCGGCTACATTTATAGCAACCGGATATACCCGGTTCTGGAATTTGGCGGGAGTTTGCTTTAATTGGGCCTATTGATAAAGTTGTTCGGCCCATTTGTGGCTACATATCTGATTGTTCTTCGACCTTTGAGCTTTAGTTTGTGTAGAATGCAACTCACGCTGTTTGCGATTTTGCACTCTTTCTTGTTTCTTTTGCATTATTGAATTTTTTTTCTCACTGAATGACGAGTGAATAGTTCATTATTTTTAGTTCATATTTCTTTCCACATTCCTTTTATTTTATTGAAGTGAAATTAGAACACAACTAGCAGCGTTCTTGTTTGCTGCAAGGCAGTTTTACATGTTTATACATGGTGTTAATGGGCATAATATTGATTCGATTAAATGCATCATTTATCGATGTAGCTAATGTACCATTGCCATCTGTCATAGAGATGTTGCAAAATGGTGTCCATATTTTCTCTTTTGTGGAAATTGTAGTAATCTTATGGTCCCTTTCAAGTTTGCTTTTGTTGTATTATTCAATTTTATGAACTCACTGGCACTGCTGTTAATTCTCACATGAAGACAATGCATATATTTGAGTAGATCTCCACAGAAATAAACAAATTGGTAATTCTGGAAAAAATATTTATATGGTAAGTGTTATTCAGAATTTTCTCCATCAAACATTGTGCATAGTTGGATATTGTCCAATTGTATCTGTTGGGAATAAACAGCCTAAAATGCGGAATCAATACATAGCATAAATGAGTTCTACAGCTCATCTAAACCAATGACAAAGTTCAATAATACCCAGAACCTCTCCATAAACTAATCAACAGTTCATCAGGCTCAATCAATAATCATTAACAATATGTAATCAACATAAACCAATGGCATTTGCATATAATCAGAAAAAATCAGCAGGTTAAACATGAACTATAGAACTGAAAACAGAACCTAAACAGAACATTAAAACTGGACAGAATTAAAGGCCAGAAAGGACAGAGCTTCACTTCCCTTTTACCGTTTGTCCTCCTCTTCTCACGGCCGAATGTCACAGTTCTTCCTGCCCCTTTTGTTGGTTGAAATGTTAGGCTCAGGAACACTCTTCCATGCCATGCAAATCGCCATCCTTAGAGAGAAGAGAACCAGCTAGAACACTCCACTTGACTAGGGTCATCGATCCAAATGATCTACCATAAATAGCCAAGTTCCTACCACCAAAATCGGACCCAAACCTCACGAGAAATCAGCCCTCACTTCAACTACTATTTCAAGTCTGAGTGTTGCATAATAATCTCTTGTCAACGGGCTACTAGGAATCGAATTTGAGGTAGATGAAAGAAGGCCATAGAAGAAGCCAACTCTCTGTTGTTTTTAAAGAGAAAGGACGGGCCAAGCATTTTCAAGAGAGAGAGAGAAAGTGAAAGTGTATGAAAGAAGCCACACCTTTTAAATTTCAAAAGCATTGACCAAGGAAAGAATATCTAACAAGGATTGATCTCCACCATTAGTATGATCCAAGGGCTACAAATGGGTCTAAGCAAAAGATACACAATCCGGGTCAAATAAGCACAGGCCCAACAAGTTATAGAACCACTATTCTCACAGTATCCATCGGCACTTAAGCCTTGCGATCGCTTTGCAGGCATTATTAGATTGAGGATTAAGCTCATTTCATACAATTTTTTTTTCCTTACCCTTTCTGCTTTTGCTCCAACAGGTGCAATATTAGTAAGCATACATGAATCCAGAATGGCTCTTTTGAGGGATATAATAGTAAGCGGATGAGGTTTCTTTTTCTTTGACATTCTTTTCCCAGCAACTACCCTCATGATCTACCAGAACCTGAATTTTTAAAAGAGTACTTGCGATTTGAATGCCATCGATCCCAAGTCTTGTAATTGAAGTTTAATTATTTGGTTGTTAATGTAGGCAGGATGTACCAGTGGCTCTGCAAATGGAAAAGAAGTTTTCTGGCATACTTATGGTTTTTAAGCAAACATGAGGAGAGAGAAACAGAGAATTTTCATTCACACGATAACACGAGGCTACACGGCCGATGGTATATACAGGGGCGGACGCAGACTTTTTATGTTGGGGGGGGGGGCACAATCAAACTTTCAAAAAGTGACGAGAAAATTAAAGTAAGAGATATTTTATTACAATTGTTCTCTATGTATTCTCATATTTTGATAACGTTCCATAATTAAAGTGGGAAATAGAGAAAAATTTAATGTAGTTTCGTAATTCAAATCAACAAAAAAATTGAGTATACAATCTTGGTCATCAAGAGCTACACAAACTTTGATAGAATCCAAGTCACAGATTTATATGTACATTTCTTAAATTCTGAAACTTATTTAACAGATGCAACAAGTAAATCAACAAGGGGCTAGGAAATGGTAAAAGTCAGACTTATTTTCGATGCATCAAATACCCGAGAAACAATCATTGCTCATTCAAGTTCAATCATATTGCATAACTCTTTCTTCTGATTACATTTAGTCGGACTAGATTCTCTTAGGCTAAAAGGCTTTCGAAATTTCCTTAAAAATATCACTTCAACTGAGAATTTCACTCGTGAATCTCATGCATTATAAGAACTTAACTAAATTTAACTAAGAATTCTTCTATTCCTATTCATTGATCTAATCCAAGTATACAATTATTTTACACTAATTACTTCGTTTAGTACTGATTTCAGCACTATAGCTCACGAAAGCCTTACCTACTAGCTTTTTCCTTGGGTCGGATCTTAGAATTCTTTGTCGCAATTGAACTTGAAATGGCTATAGAGTGGAGACAGATCGACTTTTCACTGTTTTCATTTGGCAATGCAATTTCCACTCTTTGAGAGTAACTATAAATCATTTAAATAAAGATAAATGAGATTTGAAATTTTGAACTATTCTTGTTCAGTCATTCAGTATTATCACAACTATTCTCGTATCCATTTAACAATATACAACCTCAATTTTACCATGAAGAAGAGGAGAGAAAATGAGAAGAGGAGACTCAGACGAGAGAAAACATTGGTCTGGGTATATATACCATACTTGGATACAATTCAAAAATCTTTTCTACCAACAACTATCCTACCTACTACCACTAAACAATACTTGACAATACATTAATTTGTAGTAAGTTCAAACTAGCCTAACTTTACATCATTACATAGGTTAGACCTCAATCAAAAACATGTGACTAAATGGTAACCAAAAACATTTGTTAAGTGACAACAGAAGTGTCACTTACACGGCTTCATTTAACACATACTATGAGAACATATTCGTTATTATCCTTCAGAACAATGACGTTTAACATTAGATGGCCACCTAGTTCAAAATTGGGAGTTGTAGCCTTGTATGTGACCAGCCTAAGTTAATTTGAGTAATCAACAATTCAATTACAAGTATTTCAGGGAGAGGGTAGTATTACAATGCAAGATTTTTTTTTTTTTTTTATGACTCGACATTCAAGATAATCTTCTGAAAATCTTATTCTCCATAACAATTGTGACCTGTACGTTTGTAGAAAAGTATGTCCGAGCCTTCGAACAGTGATCAGAAGGAGAATTGGATCCTTGGTATATCGACTGTGCTACGAGTTTGGGTCTCTATACAGGGACTACAATGAGAACATATTCATCATATCCCTCAAAACAATGATGTTCAGCATTAGAAGTCCACTTGGGGGGCAAAAATTGAGAATCGAATTGGTTTAGCCTCGTTTGTAACTAACTGGAGCAAAAGTTAATTATATATTACATGCAACAAGGTGTTTTGTTCTATCACAAGGTCCAAGATAATCCTTTTGAATATTTTAATCAAATTTACCGGCACACATCTAAAGGTGCATGGACATTCTCAATTCAAGACAATGGTTGGAAGTTTTAGACAGCATGGCTGAAGGTATAAATGTCTTTTTTGAATAATTCGTAAAGAATAAAAAACTGCTGGAAATCATTTCGTTCTCGAAGTAATATTTTCTTTTTGAAAGGACACACTCATTCTCACAAATGCCTACAGAATAGTGGGAGCAATAATTGTAACAGAGCACATGCTGCACATGTATGATTCTGTAAATGTCAATTTGTTCCTTCTGGTGTAGATTAGCTAACATCTAGTCTTGAACTTAAGTATTATCATAAAGTTTATTCTTCTTATTATAGTCTCCCTTTTTTACTATTCAAGTTTACACTAATATATATATCACTTGTTCCTTCAGTTAGAGATTAGCTAAAATCTAGTCTTGAACTCTAGTGTTCTATCAAAGTGTTTTCAAGAATTCTGTCTACCATTTACACTCGTCAAAATTTCCTAAGATAAATGGTCGGTGTGGCTAAAATGGTTTTTTTTTTTTTTTTTTTGACAAAGTGCTAGTAGCGATCTTCCAACGTGGAAATCTCAGAGAGCACATTGATGATTGGAGGTAACTATTTAATTCTTTTTTCAGCCACAGACTTCATTTCTTCAAATCTTATAGTTTATGTCATATTATTGTATAATAAATTACATATCATTTTGAACTCAACCCTATAAAGTTTCAAAGATGTTCTTATTGAGCGAGTGTGAAATTATATTATTTATTTGTATTATAGTTGTATTTTTCATTTCCTATGCTCTCCTAGATGATTGAAAAAAATCAGTATGCAGAGTGTACGTGTGGAAATTCAGATCACATCAAATAAGGAGGGCGAAATTAGACAGAATTGATTGAAGATTATCTCCTTTCCATAATTAGTGTTGTATATGTTATTTGATTTCTTACTAGTTTTAGGAGATTAGAAGTTTCCTTCTTTACAGCTTCCGTTGTATTATAAATTGTAACTCTTAACATTGTACAATCATCGAGAAATATACAATTAATTTCTCTACATGGTATTAGTGCAAGGTCATTTTCTAACCTAACCAAACCATGAAAGAGAATGAAACCATAGAATGTTGCACAATTGTCGTGCAATGATTATAACAAAATAGACAAACACTGTCCCAATGGCAGATATCGAGGTGGAGTTACATGTCAGAGGAAGAAGTGGGCGAGCTCCAGTTCAAGGAAGTTTGTGTACTTTATTGAGGAAAAATCCTCTAAAAGTAAAACAGATGAAGCAAAGAGCTCACTACCTTAGACAGAAAGGACGCCAAGGAAAACATGAAGTGTGTTCGACATGTTAAATACTTGGTGTTTGCTCATGCTCAGAAATGAGCAACCTAACCTCGCCAAAATTGAGCTAGCCAAATGAGCAGGCAATGAGCCAGAAATAAGCGAGCTGAAGAAAGAAATAGCTGACTTGGAGGCTAGAAACAAAGGGGTACATGCCATAAATGGAGCTACAGGGAGCCAGCGATGCCGTAATGTGTAGGGCTTTTTCCCTAACCTTGGGGGATAGTGAACAAAGGTGGTTCAGAAAGTTACCTCAGAGATCAATTAGAAACTAGACGGACTTGGCAACAGCATTCCTAGCCTAGTTCATGGGTTCTAGAGCCAGGACCACTCATTAAGAACAATTAGTAAGTATAAAGCAAGGGCGAAATAAATCCCTCTAAAGTTACCTTAACAGGTTCAACAAACAAACCATGGTGGTAGAAAAAATCTCTGATGACACAGCCCTCATAGCAACACTATCTAGATTAAGGTCCAGGACGAGGATTTGGTGGTCCATATACGAAGATGGGCCTAAAATTTACCATGAATTCTTGAACCGAGCTAAGAAACACAGGTGCAGAAGAAGCAATCTCAGATCATGAGGAAGGAAAGACAAAACTGCATCACTCAGCTCGGACAAATGATAAGAAATCAGATGAACGACCTATGCTTAAAAGGGAAAAAAGACAGAAAGGATGCATAATGGCCTCTCCTATATCCAGAAAGGTTCCAAGAGTAATACCCTCTGAATACTACTTTGGAACGAGTTTTTATGCAAGTGAAAGATAAAGAGGTCTTCCACAGACCTCCCCCTCCAAAGATAAACTCAATAGGAACCAATCAAAATAAATATTGCAGATACCACAGATTGACTGGCTATAACACAGATGAATGTTGAGATTTAAAGGAGTAACTGGAGGCTTTAATCAGGCAAGGTCAGCTATGAGAGTTCGTAGCTAAATGAGGGGCAATAACCCAAACACCCCATGTACAGGCAGTACAGCCACATCACCAGTCAACTCTCCCAGGACCATCATCAAGGAATTTCCCATCCAGAGTTGAAATTAGGATGCTAATACGCCAGAGATGCATGCATTTGGCAAAATTATAAGATATGACGGTGTAAGACTGACCTTGCAGTAAGGCAATACCCTGAATATTTCGGATTTTCAGGAGACGATTCTAATGGCGTAGTGCAAAACCAAAGTGACGCCTTTATAATCACCATGCTTGTTGCTGGAATTAGCATACGTCGGACCTTAGTAGATAATGGGAGTTTTGTCAATGTCGTATATCCAAAAATCTGGAACGCCTTATGTCAGAAGATTGCATGGCTTCAAGGGTGACCCAATTGAAGCAAGAGGTTAAATCGACCTAATTGTTGAACTAGGAGATATACCCTACCAGAGGAGAACCATTGCTAATTTTGTAGTAGTCGACTTACCATCGAATTACAATGCAATTTTAGGAAGACTATACTTCATGAATTGAAGGCAGCTACTTCAATTTACCATTATTATATGAAGTTTTTGACCCCGGGAGAAGTCGTGTATGTATTAAAGATGGCAAGTCTATAACTTTAGAATACAGATTGAAATATCATAATAGCCAGTTTGATAGCATTTGAACTTAGACAGCCTAACTTATATCGGCTCAATTGGAAAAATCTTAATATATTTATCTCTAA